AAAAAAAAAAAAGAATATATCAGAAAAGTCTTTCCTCCTCAACTACTGTTTTATTACGTATCTGCATTAAAATGATATGGTAATGAATACAAATGCTGTTAATCCACTTCACAATTCAATCTGAGAAATTATTTTATGGGAAGGCCTAATCATGGACAGATGCCAAGAATCACCTTCTCCATTTTTGCTGTAAAATTACTGTCCACTGACCTGCTCTCCACTACAGAATGACATGTTTCCTTTCCTGCCCTTTAAGTCCAAAACCTTCTTATCCTGTGTCTCTGTCTCCTTTCCAATACAAAATGCCATCTTTAAAGCAGACTTAAAACCTCAGAAGCAGGCACAGCAATTACAAAAATAATGGTAATTTCTCTCAATGAGGAAGAGTCTTAGTGGAATGATTTAGCTTAGATGTTGCTGAATCCAAACAAGAAAGAAAGAATCAAAATGAAATCTTGAAATCAATAAAGTATTGCAAAAATACCTCCAGGGTTAGTTTTAGAAAATGAATCCAGAAGTACATAGCTGATACAAAAGGTATAGCCATGACAAAGAAAGACTGACAAGCTAACTTCAGTGGGAGAAATGGAAAATACCAAATGAGGTATTAACTGGAAAGTACAAACTATTTATCTAACCTTCCCATGACAGACATAGAGAAAGCAGTATTAAGAAGATTTCAATGTCACCATTATCCATTGTTGGTCCACTGGCTTTGTTACATTAAGTAAAATGGGTGCCCCACAAATTTCCAGAATACTATGCTTCTAATAATTCCAATAACTGTTCTAGAACATTGATAGTTATGAAGTATGTGGAATTACTTTGAAAAGAAAAAGGACACATTTAAGATATTAGGATTGATAATATAGATAAAACAGATCATAGTAAGAAATCAAAAACTAAAGAAGATGCAAATAATGCTTTCTTTTTTTCTTGCATGTACAGATAGATAGATTATAGAGTTCTGCCAAGACTAGACCAAGCTGAGACACTACTCCCTACCACTTTTCCAGGCCAATCTTCCACAGTATTATTAATAAATTCACTTGCTTTTTATTTCAGATTATTTCTATAAACCTGCAAGTAGATTCTATAGTCTCTTCCATCCTGCAAAGACTTCCTCAAAACTCTAAAAGGAAGTCAACTCTCAACTTTAGTAAAAACAGAAGATACATTTCAAACTACAAAAACAAATCCCAAGATAACATTGATACAATAAAAACTGTCTTAATCCACTGATAGAAATAACTGATGTTCTCCATATTCTAATTATGTCTATCAAATATTAGAAAGCATAAAAGAATCTGAAAAATCCATGGGGTTGGTGTCAGTGTAGAAAGAAGGTTGGTAAAAGCCTTCTACTATGAATTCTACTTTAATGGACTTTTCTATTAACTAACATCTGATCCTGATTGAATCAGGTGAGAATCTTTTTTTTTTCCCAACTATGAAACATTTTAGTGTAGAGGTGAGAGTGTAGTGAGGAGCAGAAAATCAGCTACAGTTTTGTACTCCAGAAGAGCAGAACTCAGTGGCCAGTATGCTGTGAGTTATCAGTTGTACCCCATGTCACAACACTCAGTGCTAATTTAAAATATGTCATAATGCTGATTTATAGTCAAGATGTTGGTAATTTCCATATATTATTTCCAAGAATTGTATCACTGACATGTATAATTGCTATGGTATGATTATGAGTTCCTAAAATGCCAAGTGGATCCCATACTGCGAGAACATTCAAAGAATAAATGATACTCATTATTTATTAAAAAATAAAAGCTAAACAGCACTGGATTCTTACGCTTTTCCAATATTTAAAGAAAACTAAATCTTCAGGTGTGGATCAAGACTGGAAATAAACATTTCTGGAAATCCTATAAATTTTTCAGGTCATTACAAATCATCAATTAAGTAAGAACTTAAGGTTGTTTCAGAATTGTTCTAATGAAGCCAGAGATTCAGAAAAACCTGTTTCATATCAATAAAAATTCTATTCCACAGTCAATTTTGACTGCAACAAGCACACTGTAAATACATATCACTGGTTACTAGCAAAAAGGGGAAAAGAAATTGATATTATAATCTATATCCACTAACTGAATGCCATGTCAAAAACTACTACTTCCCTCTGATGGCAATTCAACGGCTGAAGGCTTAAAATTTTAAAGCACCACGTGAGACACTTTAAATTATCTAATGTTTTTCTCATAGCAATTTTATAAGATAGATGCCATTCCTATTTTGTAGATAGGAAAATGAGGTTTAGAGAAATTAGATAACTTGCCAAATACTATATTTTTATTAAGTGGAGAAGCAAGGAATCAAACCCAATTTACTTCTGAACCTGCCCTTACCCTGGGATCAGATGTGAAAAAGAGCAAACTGACTAGCTAGAAGTGCAATCACAGCTTTAAAATTGTATTCCAGTTTGATGATCTTATACAGTAAAAGTATCTAATTCTGAAATCTATAAAAACGGTTTCTAAACTTCTTTCTAAAATTAAGTACTTATAAGAGCTGGTCTAATCATTCAAGAGATCATATCATGGGAGAAAAGAGAGGAGAATGTTTTAGAATAAAGGAAACTAGAGATAAAACAAGTAAATGTAATGCATGTTCTTTATCTGAGTCCTGGTTAGAACAAAACAAATAAAAATTCTTTTGGCAAAATTCAGGAAATTCGCATATGGCCTGAGTTTTATGTTATGTGTGAATCACCAATGTTGTTAGATGTTACAGTTGTTGTGTTATAAGACAAAGGTTTTTTTGAAGTTAACTATTTAAAGAAATATTATTATGAAATATTTAGAGATTTGCTCTCATGATTTCTGTAATTTACCTGAAAATATTACAGCAAATCAATCAATTAAGTATCTATAGCAAAAGGTTAAAGACAGAAATCTAGGGAACAAGTGTATGGTTGTGCATTTTACCACTGTCCTCACTTTCCTGTATATTTGAAGTTTTCTCAAAATAAAAAGTCAAAATTTCAAAAACTGCTCACATGAAAGAAGTCAGTGTTTATCTTTCAGCTCTGAAACAATTGTTCTTTACCAGTATTTAGCATCATGTTATTTTTTTTAATCCTCTGACCTTAGCTGAATCATACTTCTTGACAGAGGAAAAATGGTGCTCCATCACATGAAACTGTCAGAGGGCAATCACTCTGCTTACTTTGAGAAGCCAACAGGAAAGTGTGGAAGATCTGTTCCTACTTGGAAGACCTGGGCCATGGTTGTCCAAGTCTTCTTAAGTGTCATCATTCACTATTATACTTCTCATCAATCAAGTAAATTATTAACTGAGAAGCTCTTATTGTTACCATATTGATCAGGAAGAAACTGATGCACAAAGGACTGCTGTCAACCCCGGCAAATTACAACTATCCTCTCTTTGTCTTTGAAATCAAATTCTTTGACAGAAGTGACCTTATCCTGAATCCAATAAATTTCCTATTTCCAAAAAACTCTACTGAAGCGCTATAAAACCTGAAAATTCTCCTGTGCTTTCTCCTCCTTTGCTTCCAGTTACCATCCTAAAAGGATCAGCTGAAAGCCATCAATTGGATCGAACATCCTAAGAAGAAAGAATCACACCAGGCCAGGTATATGAATATTTTAGATATATTGGGGACTAATATATCTAATGTTAACTAAGCAGCTTTCAAGTTATATACGTATATTGAGTAATAATAGCAGTAGTTGTTATAATAGTTATTCTCCTCTCTTCTTGAGAACTGCTACACTATGTGATAACAGACTCAACTCATATGTTATTAGAAGAAAATATAATCAGTGGAGAATATTTTTTAATCTTGAGAAGAAACTCTGACAGGATATTAGGAATCTGATAATATAATAATAATAATTCCTTTCTCCAATTGGGCCAGATGGTTTTCTTCTTGGTATACTCGTACTATAATAATTACCACCACTAAGCCTTTATCATGGACCAGACATTGTGCCCAGTACAATCTGTAATATATATCATTCCAGTCAATCTTCAGTGCAACCTTAAAATGCAGGTTTGCAATTCACTCAAAGTCACACAGTACGTGGCAAAGCAGTGATTTAAACCAAGTATGACTGACTCTAACACCAGTGTGATAAACGGCAGGGCTCTATTGTGAGATGTATCTGATCTGACAGCACACCACATTGATGTGTACACATGAATTTACTTGCCCTAACAGCACTTGTTCTACATAATGATTTTACCTTTGTTTTCTGAAATCAAGCTGATATGTACATATTGTATACATGATCAAAATAAGAAAAATAGAAGGCCATGTCCTTTCCTTACTCTCCCCTCCTACAACCTAAAACCAAAGTACAATTATTTTTGGAACTATTTTTTTAATTGATTAAATCTGCACTCTACTGACTACGATGACATAAAAATGAATAAAACATAACTCCATCCTTTAGGGATTTAGAAAAAGGCCATCAGGTAGCAAAATCTTCAGTAGAAAGAAGTTTGGGAAAGAGTCCATTTGATATGGTTCTTAGTCCTAAGTAACAGCCTTATAACACAGAAACAAGGAACACTTTCCTTGCTTAAAAGAACATCATTGAACATTTACTGCTCATTAAATATCAGATAATTTGTATCATGGTTCATCAAACAGGGAAGTTTCTAGGATAAGAATAGAAATAAAAAGGAAACTATTTCCTTCTCTTATTAAACTTCCTAAGATCCTGCCCTTCCTAGGCAAACTGTAGTATCAGTGGAAAATGCCCATCCTACAAACTAGTTATAACAATAATAATTCTTGACTCTCCTCCATTGCTTTATCTCTTAAAGAATGTGTTTTAGTTGAAGTAATTTTGCCTCACCACTATGGAATGAAAATATATAAACAATTGTCAGAAACCACTGCTGTCTTTTAAATTGTACTAACAAAACTAAGTCATTTGTCAAAACACATCCCATCTCTCACAATATCGTAACTAATAGTGAGCAACTTTTCTGCTTTTCCCAAGAATTAGCAGAAAAAGATGAAGACTCTGACACTGCTGGCGTGCGTCTGTGCACTGAGTGCTTGCTTCTCAGTAAGTATCCACCCAAATAACTGTTATTCTTATATATCAATAACATTTAGCGTATATACCTAATTGAGACTTGAAAAGTACACGCAATTCCTATTTCCAAGAAGCTTAACATCTTTTGTTTTCTGTGAAACATAAAAAAAACAGCTAATTAGGGGCGCCTGGGTGGCTCAGTTGGTTGAGCGACTGCCTTCGGCTCAGGTCATGATCCTGGAGTCCCTGGATCGAGTCCCGCATCGGGCTCCCTGCTCGGCAGGGAGTCTGCTTCTCCCTCTGACCCTCCCCCCTCTCATGTGCTCTCTCTCATTCTCTCTCAAATAAATAAATAAAATCTTTAAAAAAAAAAAAAACAGCTAATTAAAGCACTAGGAAATGATTCATTTCATTCATTTTAATCAATATTTCCACATCACTAACTTTATCATAGGTGTGATGAAATAAGATGGAGATGCAGAACAAATGGATCATATAGGGCCTCATTGGTTTAGAACACGGATTCCATTTTCAGTATACTGGGAAGCCTCAGGATGACTAGTGTGTCCACAGGGGAAGGACCTGACTTTGGGTCCTGGGGAAAAAACAGATTTCAGGGGACAAAAGCTAAGGTAGACAAAACAGGCAAGAAGCTAAGGCAGTGGTCCAGATAAAAGATGATGGTATCTTGCACTAAATGTCAGCAATTAAAACAAAATATGAGGGTGGATTAAGATATAGTTTGGTGATTAAGTCTGCCATAACTTATGCTGCTTAGGTGTGTAGTGAAAGAAAGAGATGAACAGAAGGGTTTTAGACATGTTAAATTTGAAAGGCTATTAGACTTCTATAAGGAGATGTCAAGAGGCAATTGGATATACACTGTCTGGAGTTCAAAAAGAAGTTTAAGAGCGAAGTTTATGTTTTAAAGGTATTTGAAGCCATGGGACCTTATAAGATTACCTAGAGAAAACATGTAGGTGGTTTGGATATGGATAGGGAAAATGAAGGAAGCACAAAAGGGGACAGGAAAGTACAGTTTCCGAAACCAAGAGATTACAAAATGGGCCCAACCTTTAAAAGATATTATTTAGGGGGGTGCCTGGGTGGCTCAGTCGTTAAGCATCTCCCTTCAGCTCAGGTCATGATCCCAGGGTCCTTGGATCGAGCCCCACATCGGGCTCCCTGCTCGGCGGAGAGCTTGCTTCTCCCTCTCCCACTCCCCCTGCTTGTGTTCCCTCTCTCACTGTGACCCTCTGTCAAATAAATAAAATCTTTAAAAAAAAAAAAAAGATATTTAGGGTCTGGGACACCTGGGTGGCTCAGTTGATTAAGCATCTGCCTTCAGTTCAGGTCATGATCGCTGGGATTGTGCCCTGCACGGAGCTTCCTACTCAGCAGGGGAGTTTGCTTCTCTCCTTCTGCCCCTCTCCCTCATCAAAAATAGAAGGACATGGCCTTCTATTTTTCTTATAAAGCACATTTCCTAAAATTTACTGAATCTCTTTGGGATTCAGTTTCTTCATCTGTATAATGAGAATAATAATAGAACTCACCTTCCGGTGTTGCTAAGGAATTAAGAAAACTTGTGTTTGTAAACCACTTAAAATAAGGCCTGACACAAAGTAAGTGCACAAAAAGTAAAAGGACTTTTTTACAAAGATAATGACAGATGTGAACAGGCAAATGAGGATATATTAAATATGCTCTTCCTGGCTTTATATTTATCATGAGCACTTCCATCCTTCAATCTAAGCATTTTCAACCCGTCCCCCTCTCAAACTTCCCTAATCCCAATTCTAATCAAAAAGTCCTGTCAGAGCCATCCATAACTGCCAATCTTAATGATAATTAGTCAATATATTTTAAGTAAACTAGTCAAACCGCTCATTTGATACATGTTCTATGCTAAGCTAACAAAGTTAATAAAACATTATATATTTTTTGGTCATCTAAATTAAAATAACTGAAACTTTTTCACATAATAAACACTTATAAATGTTAAGATTCTATTTGATGAGAAATATAGCTTTTTTATTATCAATTCTATGCATTTGTTCATTCAGTAAATATCTAAGGGGTGCCTATTATGAGCCAGGCATAGTTCTAGGTATTGGGCATACAGAGATTAACAAGACAAAATCCCCGCCCTCATGAATTTAATCATCTGATTAAGGGAATGAACAGTATTAAGTATTTCAAAGTATAGAAGTCATAGAACTAGACTTTGGATCTGCAATTTAATTTAATTTGAATCACTTCATAAATGAGTACACTGAGATCCAGTGAAATTAAGTGATTTGCCCAAAGTCACTCGGTATTAATGGCAGATGCAGGACAGACCCAAACCTCTCCTGATGGTCTGATGCAGTCTGTTTCAAACATCCTCCTCTAAGATACGGGAGTTCTTCACACCATCCTCAAACACCACAAGAAAAAGCAGAGACTGAACTGGTGGAATTCAAGGCCCCCAATCCTGCTTCAATCAAAGCAACTTTCTAATTATCTGGATCACATACTGAATCTTGAGGAAAAGTCTGCTTGAAAAATATGACCTGTTTATTTTATATTAGAAAAATATTACCCTATAAGAACATCTCCTGAGACGTTCCATGAGCATCCTGGATTCAGAGTTGCAGACTCTGGAATTCTATGCCCATTTATAAGAGAGCTATGCAAAAATACCAGTTATGTGGATCACAAGCCAGTATTTTCATTTATGAACATTCTAAGTTATGAACTAAAATGTCCTGGACAATTTAATTTTTTTAAACAACTCATGCTTTCCAAAGTTATTTTTAAGGTTGTATATATTAGTCTCTGAGGAAGTTATCTTAGCTGAACAACTCTGCTGGTCTCTCAAAAGTTGTCACCTTTGCCCATGCCAAGCTTTATAGTGTGAGACTGGAATGATTTATCTATTGGGTGGTCTCAAAAGGGTTTATGTGTAAATTATCAGGAGGTAAAAAGTAACCTATCCTTGCTTGGAATTCTGGCATGTGCCCCCTTATCCTTATGTTAATATTTCTTTTCTCTAATTTAAATTAATATAACTGATAATTTAAAATTTTAGTATGAGATGAAATGCAGAAAAAAAAAGGATATAGACAAATTGCAGTATGTTTAGAGAGAAGTTACTGAAACAGTGATAGTACTCTAACTCACATAATGTCAGGAACTAAGAATGTTAACCTTGAAGAATATAAGACCCAGACGACATGGTAAAATATTTTCAAATTTTGAAGGTCTCCAGGATCTTCTATGTGCTGCCAAGTGCAAAATTAGGACCAAGAATGAATACCTGAAAAAAACAAATTTCTGTTCTGTTAAGAATAGAAACCTCCCCCCAAAAAAATCCATTTAGTATCAAGAACTCTCTACCAGGCAACCTGGTGAGACATGGTAGAGAATTCCCGATAGAAAAAGTTGTCAAGCATAGGCTGGAAAGCCATTCAGGTGTACTGGAAAAAAAGATCAAGTATTGGTTGTGGAATTGGACTAAATCAGTATTCTTTTCAGATGTGAACATCTTTGAGAAATCATGAAAGCTATAGGTTCTCTGCAGACAAAACGCATAAACATGCAAAATTTTCCTACAGTATCATAGGATTCATTGACCCTTGAGTTTCTGTAATTATAATTTACAATTAAAGGTAATGGCCAGGGCGCCTGGCTGGCTCAGTCTATAGAGCTTGTGACTCTTGAACTTGAGATCGTGAGTTCGAGCCCCACGTATGGTGTGAAACCTACTTTAAATAAATAAATTAAATATTAATGGCTAAAGTTCTTTTTCCAATTTAAAAAAGCTAAAAACTAAGTTTTCTTCAATGTGGAGGATCTAAAAGGTGAAGTGGGGTATTTGTTAAGTTGATTGTTTGGGATTTTGTTGTTTTGTTTTTTGATGGTGGCAGATGTGAAAGGTGTGATTCAGAAAAGACTCCTTGATCTCAGTTGAATGTCTTTAACGGAAGTTTCATGAACAGAGCACAGCAAACAGGGTGGCCTTTTGCTCGGTCCTCAGGCAGTAACCTAATCATTTTCTACCAGAGGAAGAAGAGAGGAACTATAAGCACAAAGGGCAGATCAAGCTAATCCTCCAAGCTTGAACCCATAGGAATATATCCATTGTAGCTAGCTCAGAAATAAATGCTTGACAAAATAAACTCTCTAATAGCAAGTTGTTCTTGAGATTTGGTGAAATTAGAATACTCACTCAACCCACTGCAATCTGGTTCCCATTCCCAAAACTCCATAAATACTGCCCATCCAACGTTCAGCAATAATCCCCTAGTTGGTAAATCAATGGATGTTTTCAGGTCTTGCATTTTCTTTCTTTCCACAGCTCAGTGAGGGTCGAAAAAAGCCATGGAAAACACAGCACAAAAAGAATTATGTCCAACAACATATATTAGACCACCGATCACCACTGCATCGAAAATTTCAATATAACTGGAATATGTTACTTCAAAGGCATTTAATTTTTGGTCCATACAAATACCCAAAGCCTTCACATCCAATCAAGAGAAAGCCAAAGCCAAAACATCGCCAGCCACCTAGGTGTCCAGCTAAAAATAACACCGTGGTTAATAACACCACCTCAGGGGCTACCACTCAAATCCCATCTTTGAGTCCCACATCTACTTCCAACAAAATTACTGAATCTCCAGGTGTGACTTCTCTTATTCAGAATGCTACCACCATATATGTAAAAGAAAATAACACAGGCTCTCCTGCAGTTACCCCATCACCTCAACCTTCCCCAGCTTTGCCAGACACCACAGCTGCCCCACCGACATCTTCTCCACCTCTGCCAGAGCCTACAGCTGCCCTATCTACATCTTCCCTAACTACACCAGCACCACAACCTTCCCCAGTTCCACTGAATAACACAGCTGCCCCAAATACTACACCTAATCCTTCCCCAACCACTCCTGCACCTGAAACTTCCCAAACTACAACTGCACCCACAACGCAAACTACCACTCCAGTCACTACTCAAAATACTACTGTTGAACAAAAAACCTCACCTTCCAGCCAAAATGCAAATTCTAAATTCTGGCAATATATTAATAATATAATAAAGTACATTTCTGGTCGTACACCAAAGAAATAGTACATCATACATCATGAAGTGTTCTGTTGTCAGATATGATTTATGAGTGCAGAACTACCACCTTTACTTTTACCACCAATCTCAAAGTGAAATTATCATATTCCTCAAATTTAAAGCACTATCACTAATCTTTGAATCCATTTACCTCACATGACTTATTAACATGAAAAACCACCTCTATCCCACAAAACAGGTGCATAACCATAATTTAAGATCACTTTGTGGAATCTCCACTTTGTGGAGATAGCCTGCTGGGGCGGCGGCAGGGAGACATTAGCTAACCAGAGAAAATTATATGGATCAGGAGCCCTCTACTTTTCCCTAAATGTCAGAAACCATAAGGTCACTACTCTGTACCCCCAACCAAGAACCCACCTGAACTGTCTAATCCCACAAATAAAAAGGTTTAGTTAAAATTAGGTCTCTCAAACAAAAACAGGTAAATCTAGATAGACCTATCATTGCATTACTGATTAGAGACAAAAATTCTTTAGACAATCATCTTAAATCTTTAAATCCAGTTCCACTCCACAAAATGTGAACCAAGGAAGAAGAAAGTTGATTTGAAAAGAAGATTTGAAGTGGTGAAAACAAAATCTGGCAGCCAAGAACAAACCAGGTCTCTGCCACTACAGACTTGAGAGCACATAATTGTTTAGGCTTTATGGTTGATATTTACTGTATTATCTCTAAGTTAATTTCGATCCAATGTACTTCATTCTAGCCTCTGTGAATCACAAGAAGACTTTTTGTGTATGTTCACATGGTGGTCATAATACTTTACTATGAATTCAATTAATTTCATCTTACTAATTCAATTAATTCACATTAATTCAATGTGAAATGTATTCAGCAACAGAATATTTTCTAAATGTTGTAGCCATCTATTTAAATGTGTTTTAAAGCAAACCATACCAAACTACTGCCCTGATGTCACTTTTGCAAAATTGTCTCTGAAAATAGTCTCTAGTCAATATGAGAATAAAAACTACCTACGTGGTATAGAGAGATATGTTAATTTGGGATATGGAGGTATTTTTACTTTGTGTTACTACTACTGAGAACTCTAATGATTTTATTTAGATTTTTTTGTCAACTAATAAAGACTTCACATGGCAATCTGTTTTCATTGTGTGTATCTGGAAGCCGCTTATCACTTAGATTCTGAGAAGGGTGAAAGTGAACATCTGCATTCTTGTCAACTCTGCAACTAATTAGCCAATGACCTGGGTAGGACACTCAATATCTCTGAACACTGGGGTTTTTTTAATCCTTTAAGCAAAGTGGTTAATTTACTTAGATTAACTTAATCTTTACTTAGTCTTAATTTACAAATACATTTCCAATCCAAATTCTGTGTTTGTCCTATGCTTCCCAGACTGACTACAAAAGACCCCCAATCCTCTCACTTAATTCTGTTCCTTCAGTCTTGTCTCAGACTAGATCAAAAAGAACTACCAGAAAGAGAAATTAAGAAAACAAGTCCATTTACAATTGCATCAGAAATAATAATCTACCTAGGAAAAAATTTAACAAGGAGGTAAAAGAATGGTACACTGAAAACTGTAAGACACTGATGAAAGAAACTGAAGGAGACACAAATAAATGAAAAGATATGCCCTGCTCATGGATTGGGAAAATTAATATTGTTAAGATGTCTATCCTACACAAAGCAATCTTAGACTCAATGCAATCTTTGTCAAGATTCCAGTGGCATTTTTCACAGAAAGAGAAAAAACAATCCTAAAATTTGTATGGAACCAAAAAGACCCTGAATAGCCAAGCAACCTTGAGAAAGAAAAACAAAGCTAGAGGCAGCACACATTCTGTTTTCAAACTATATTACAAAGTTATACTAATCAACACAGTACAGTAGTGGCACAAAAACAGACACACAGATCAGTAAAACAAAACCGAAAACCCAGAAATAAACACACACATATATGGTCAATTAACTTAGGACAAAGGAGCCAAGAACATAAAATGGTGAAAGATAGTTTTTTCAATAAATGGTGTTGGAAGAACTGAACATCTATATGCAAAAGAATGAAACCAGAGCACTATCTTACACCATACACAAAAATCAACTCAAAATGGATTAGAGAAACATGAGACCTGACACCATAAAGCTCCTAGAAGAAAACAAAAGGGGATAAGCTCTTTGACACTGATCTGGGCAATAATTTTTTTGGATTTGATATCAAAAGCAAAAATAAACAAGTGATACTGTATCAAATTAAAAAGCTGCACAGGAAATGAAACCATCAACAAAATGAAAAGGCAACCTATGGCTGAGAGAAAATATTTACAAATCATATATCTGATAAGGGGTTAATATCCAAAATATATAAAGAAGTCGTACAACTTAATAGAGAAAAAACAATCTGATTTAAAAATGGGCAGAGGAACTGAAAAGACATTTTTCTGAAAAAGACATACGAATGGTCAACGGGTACATAAAAGTTGCTCAACACAACTGATCATGAGGAAATGCAAGTCAAAACCACAGTGAGGTATCACTTCACACCTGTCTGAATGACTATTATCAAAAAGACAAAGAATAACAAGTGTTGGTGTGGGTATATAGAAAAGGGAACATTTGTGCACTGTTGGTAGGAATGTAAATTGGGGCAGCCACTAGGGAAATAGTATTTAAATTCCTCAAAAAATTTAAAATAGAGCGGCACCTGGGTGGCTCAGTTGGTTAAGTGTTCAATTCTTGATCTCAGCTCAGGTACTGATCTTGGGATCATGAGTTCAAGCCCCACACTGAGCTCCACACTGAGCATAGAGCCTACTTTAAAACAGAAATACCACATAATCCAGTACTTCCACTGCTAGATACTTATCCAAGGAAAACAAAACCACTATCTTGGAAAATATCTGGTTAAATGTTACAGAGGTATTGTTTTCCCCACTGATTTTAGTAACTCAAATGTTTAGAATTTTTAAAACTTTGATATTTCTCTGAAGTATCTTGTTGGAATCATTAAAGTTGAATTTTGCAACTTCAATTTTTACTATAAAACCTTTCAACATAAATGTGATGCTTGTCATCGTAAAAAAATATAGTTACCAGCCATTGATTATAACAACAAATTACTTAATGAGGCGCTTTGATTTGTGTCAGTATGGAAGAAATACAATTTGCAAGGTCTGCATTCTTCCTGGGGAGTAGTTGGAGTACAAGTAGAGCTGGTTGTGTCTTAGGGGCCAGGGTAATAATATATACCATCCAAAGCAGCCCAGAGCCCAAAAAACTACAGGACTGAACACAAGCCACAGTCTTATATAGGAACACAGGGGGTAAAGATGGGGAAACCAAGCTCATTCAAAAGCACAAAGAGCAGAAGCACAGGGTCCAGACCTGTAAAAAAACCAGAATGGAACAGATCCAGAGACAAGGAAAGAATGGGCTGAGGGCTCTGAAAACTAGACTGACTCTAGTTTTTTATGACCTTCTAGCAAAAATGCATGAGTTGGTGCTCTGTAAAAACTGAAGAATTAAAACATATTTATTTGTATTCTATACAAATAGAACACTCTCCCCAGAGGGTATCAGGTTTTTTTTTTACATTCTCTCCTTTTGTTTTTTTTTATTATGTTATATTAATCACCATACAGTACATGATTAGTTTTTGATGTAGTGTTCCATGATTCATTGTTTGCGTGTAACACCCAGAGCTCCATGCAATACGTGCCCTCCTTAATACGCACCACCAGGCTAACCCATCCCCCCACACCGCTCCCCTCTAAAACTCCCAGTTTGTTTACCAGAGTCCATAGTCTCTCATGGTTCATCTCCCCCTCTGAATTCCGCCCCCCTTCATTTTTCCCTTCCTTCTCCTAATGTCCTCCATGTTATTCCTTATGTTCCACAAATAAGTGAAACCATATGATAATTGACTTTCTCTGCTTGACTTATTTCACTTAACATAATCTCCTACAGTTCCATCCACGTTGATGCAAAAATTGGGTATTCATCCTTTCTGATAGCTGAGTAATATTACATTGTATATATGGACCACATCTTCTTTATCCATTCATCTGTTGAAGGGCATCTAGGCTCTTTCCAGTTTGGCTATTGTGGACTTTGTTGCTATGAACATTGGGGCGCATGTGGCCCTTCTTTTCACTACATCTCTATCCTTGGGGTAAATGCCCAGTAGTGCAATCGGTGGGTCATAGGGTAGCTCTATTTTTAACTTTTTGAGGAACCTCCACACTGTTTTCCAAAGTGGCTGTACCAACTTGGATTCCCACCAACAGTGTAAGAGGGTTCCCCTTTCTCCACAACCTCTCCAACATTTGTTGTTTCTTGCCTTGTCTACTTTTGCCATTCTAACTGATGTAAGGTGGTATCTCAGTGTGGTTTTGATTTGAATTTCCCTGATGGCTAATGATGATGAACATTTTTTCATGTGTCTGTTAGCCATTTGTATGTCTTCTTTGGAGAAGTGTCTGTTCATGTCTTCTGCCCATTTTTTGACTTGATTATTTGTTTTTTGGGTGTTGAGTTTGAGAAGTTCTTTATAGATCTTGGATATCAGCCCTTTATCTGTAGTGTCATTTGCAAATATCTTCTCCCATTCCATGGGTTGCCTCTTTGTTTTATTGACTGTTTCCTTTGCTGTGCAGAGCTTTTTCTCTTGATGAAGTCCCAAAAGTTCATTTTTGCTTTTGTTTCACTAGCCTTTGGAGATGTATCTTGAAAGAAGTTGCTGTAGCCAATGTCAAAGAGGTTACTGCCTATGTTTTCTAGGACTTTAACGGATTCTTGTCTTACACTGAGGTCTTTCATCCATTTAGAGTTTATCTTTGTGTATAGTGTAAGAGAATGGTTGAGTTTCATTCTTCTGTATATAGGTGTCCAATTTTCCCAGCACCATTTACTGAAGAGACTGTCTTTTTTCCATTGCATATTTTTTCCTGCTTTGTCGAAGATTAGTTGACCATAGAGTTGAGGGTCCATATCTGGGCTCTCTATTCTGTTCCATTGA